AAAAAATCGTTGAGAAAAATAAAAGTCAAAATTTAAAAAAAAGATGTGAAAAAAAATCATCTTATTTCACGTTTTTCTGTCTTGTTTCATATGCTTGTAAATGATATAAAATGAGATTCTTAAAAAATCCATAAACATATCGATTTTTAAAATTGCAAGCTTGAAAAAAATGTTGAAAGGTAACTCTACTATTAATGAATCGCTGAGAAAAAAAACTAGAGAAGAACTAGACCATCGTTCATTATTTTCATTTGAGTCAAACAAATATTTCCGCATCGTTAAAAATTTAATCAGTTTGTCGGACTGAAAAGGTAATTCTTTAAATTAGATCAGACTTTTGCGAAATAAAAACGTCTCGTTGCTGTTTGTAGTCAATAAAACTTTTTTATTAAGAATCTCATTCGTGATTGTGTTATTTTTACTCACTCGTTCTTTCAGGATGAAATCTTAATTTTTTTTCGGTCAAAAGGTCAAGTGTGACTTATGGTAATTTTTCTTTCTCTCATTTAAAAATCACGCAAGCTTCAATTTATTTCCTCGCCGCACGAAACATTGATAAATTGATAATGATAGAGAGTTTTTCGTCAATTCGCAACCATGCGTAAAACAAACTCAAAACTTCGAGAAAAGAACAAAGCGAGTCAACAAATCTTGTTTAAAGAGCTTTTTTGGTACGTAATGACTTAAGTGTCGCAATTAGTGGAGACGTCAAGCGTGCCGTGCCCAGCCCTCTGGATTTAAATCACTTTTCGAACGAAACGTAACTGCAAATAAACCGAACGTCAGTAAACAACATTAAAAGATATTATTTAAGCTTTGCTTAATTTCATCAAGTTCACCGCAAGTTCCATTGCAGAAAATTAAATGTAAGCCGACGTGCGCTTCCTTTTTAATTAAATCGGATCCGACAAATTCAAAGAAATTATTATTACCGACGGAATTAATTCAATTCGGACGAATGAACATCCCAACTGTACTAAAAGTATGGATTTTGAACACTTTGTCGCCTTGGAAACAAGTCGTTGTCATTTGTTGTTGACATAGAGACGCCTTTTCCATGGAAACAAGTCAGTTTGTTGACATAGTGATGCGTTTCCAAGGTGATAAAGCGCTCAAATTCCATACTAGTGGCCCTTCATCGTGAATTTTTTCTAGGGTTATTGACTGAAATTCTCGCACTGGCAAATTAAATATTAAAATATTAAAATAAAAAATCCGAGTATGGAAAAAGACTTTAAAATCGCTAAAAAAAACAAAATTGTTTGCAAGTTTTAATTTTCTATCTAATTTGTTCAAAACTTTTAATAAAATTGTTTTTTTTTTTAAATTTCTTGCATTTGAAATTATTTTTTTTTAAATTGACC